GTTGTTGGGTCTTTTCTTATAGCTCTGTAGAAAGTAAAAAGTTCCTCTTCAAAGCTCCTTTCCTGTTAAAGAATAATAATAATAAACGTTAGAAATAATAGTTTGTTTTAAAGGCTTTCTTCAAAGCCATCTTGCTTTTTGCTAGTAGCTCTTTGTGAAGCCCTATCCTCTGTAGCTGTTAGACATGCTCACGGGCACACAGTACATTCCATGTCCTTGTACTTTAACCAAGATGCCTGTGCTGGACGTGCTCACAGGCGCGTCCCAGCTCGCAGCCTGTGCCCCTTCCTTATCTGGACTTCCTCTTTTCCTTTGTTCTCCATCGCCTTTACCTATTCAGGAAAGTTTTAAGTTGTTAGCCAATCAGGTTCAGTTTAGATTGTGAGGTCTGGCTCCAACCAACCAAGATTGGACACAGCAGTGAAGAGCCAATGCGTAAGGAATAAACATGCTGCCTTTCCTTTGTTCATGGTACCCTTGCAGCAAGATGGCTAATGGGAGCATCCTTTCTGTAGAAAGTAAAATTGCCTTGCTGAGAAAACTTTTTGTCCGAATGCTAATTTTTCCTTGCCTGGGAACAAGCATTCAGTCTCTAACAGCTCCTTATAAAGAGATTATCCTTTCTCTGTTTTATTTGTTGTAAATATTTTTGCCAAGATTGCCATTTGTCTTCCAATTTACGGTGTAGTTTACCATAAGTCCTGTCTTCACAGAAATTTTTTTTTTTTTTTTTTTTTTTTTAAAGATAGGGTTTCACCGTGATGCCCAGGCTGGTCTTGAACTCCACCACGCCCAGCAAATCTTTCTTTTGTTGTTGTTGAGACAGAATCTTGCTCTGTCACCAGGTTGGAGTGCAGTGGTGTGATCCTGGCTCACCGCAACCCCTGCCTCCCAGGTTCAGGTGATTCTCCTGCCTCAGCCTCCCAAGTAGCTGGGACTACAGGCACGCGCCACCACATCCAGCTAATTTTTGTATTTTTAGTAGAGACGGGGTTTCACCATGTTGGCCAGGATGGTCTCAATCTCTTGCCCCTGTGATCTGCCCACTTTTGCCTCCCAAAGTGCTGGGATTACAGGTATGAGCCACCACGCCCAGCCCACAGAAAATCTTTTATGCCTCTGAGTCTTCTTTTCTTTCTTTTTCTTTTTCTTTTTTTTTGACACAAAGTCTTGCTGTGTCATGTGTCACTCAGGCTGGAATACAGTGGTGCAATCTTGGATCACTGCAATCTCCACCTCATGGGTTCAAACAGTTCTCCTGTCTCAGTCTCCCAATTACAGCTGGGATTACAGGCATATGCCAACATGGCCAACTAACTTTTTTTTTGTATATATATATATATATATATATATTTTTTTTTTTTAGACGGAGTTTCGCTCTTGTTGCCCAGGCTGGAGTGCAATGGCTCGATCTCGGCTCGCCGCAACCTCTGTCTCCTGGGTTCAGGCAATTCTCCTGCCTCAGCCTCCCGAGTAGCTGGGATTACAGGTACGCGCCACCATGCCCAGCTAATTTTTTGTATTTTTAGTAGAGACTGGGTTTCACCATGTTGACCAGGATGGTCTTGATCTCCTGACCCCATGATCCACCTGCCTCGGCCTCCCAAAGTGCTGGGATTATAGGCGTGAGCCACCGCGCCTGGCCATTTTGTATATTTTTTTTAAGAGATGGGGTTTCACCATGTTGACCAGGCTGCTCTTGAACTCCTGGACTCAAGTAATCCACCCGCTTAGCCTCCCAAAGTGCTGGGATTACAGGTGTGAGCCACCATGCCTGGGCTTGGATTTTTTTTTTTTTTAAATGCTTGCATGTCTTCAAATTGTTTTCAGATTTGCTTCCAATACTTAATGTTTTCAGTTTTGAAAAAAGGTAACAGATTTTATATCTTTAGGGCAGTTTTAGGTTTACTGAAAAATCGATTGTAGAGTACAGAGATCCCATAACACCCCTTCATGGGCACTTTTCCTATTATTATTATTATATTGAGATGGAGTCTCACTCTGTCACCCACGCTGAAATGCAGTGGCATGATCTCGGCTCACTGCAAACTTTGCCTCCCAGGTTCAAGCGATTCTCCTGACTCAGCCTCCCGAGTGGCTGGGATTATAAGCACCTGCCACCACGCCCAGCTAATTTTTGTATTTTTAGTAGAGACGGGGTTTCACCATGTTGGCCAGGCTGGTCTCGAACTCCTGACCTCAGGCAATCCACCCGCCTTGGCCTCCGAAAGCGCTGGGATTGCAGGTGGGAGCCACCGCGCCCGGCCACTTTCCCCTATTATTAACGTCTTTCCTTAGTGTGGTTCGTTTTCTGTGACTGACAAGAAATATTGATATGTGACTTTTAGCTAAAGCTTCCAGTTCACATTAGGGCTTCATTCTTGGTGTTGTACATCCCATGGTTTGGAAAAATCACGTTTGCACAATTGTAGTATTGTGTGGGGTAGTTTCGCTGCCTTAAAAATCCCCCACACTTCACTTTTCACCCCACCCCTCCCCAGCCCCCGGCAGCACTGATCCTTTGATTGTTCCCACAGTTGTGCCTTTTCCAGAATGTTGACGTTGGAATCACACAGTGTGCTGCCTTTTCAGACCCGCGTCGCTCACTTAGCAATGTGCATTTAAGTTTTCTCTGTGTCTTTTTATGGCCTGACAGCTTGTTTTTTTTTTCAGGGCTGAGTAATATTCCCTTGTCTGGACGGACCAGAGTTTATCCATTCACCTGTTGAAGGACATCCTGGCTGCCTGGGTTTTGGCCATTATTAATAAAGCTTCTGTAAACATCCATGTGTGAGGTTTTTTTTTTTTTTTTTTTTTTTTTTTTTTTTTTTTTGAGATAGTCTTGCTCTGTTGCCCAGGCTGGAGTGTAGTGGTGGATCTCGGCTCACTGCAACCTCTGCTTCGCGGCTTCAAGCAATTCTTCTGCCTCAGCCTCCCTAGCAGCTGGGATTACAGATGTGTGCCGCCACACCCAGCTAATTCCATGTGTGGGTTTTCATGTGGACACAAATGTTCAACTCCTTTGGGTGAATACCAAGAGGCGCTCTCATGGACGGTCGCTGAGCGTACGTTCAGCATCTGCCAGCCATGGACCGTCGGTGATCGTAGGTTCAGCACCCGCCAGCCATGGACGGTCGGTGAGGGTACGTTCAGCACCCGGCAGCCATGAACGGTCGGCGAGGGTACGTTCAGCACCCGCCAGCCTGTCTTCCCCAGCAGCTGTGCCTTTTTGCGTTCCCACCGGCAGTGAACGGAGCTACCGTCGCGCTCATCCTTGGCGGCCTTTGCTGTCGTCAGTGTCCTGGATTTACTGACTTACCGGGTGTGTTTTGCTTTAACGTTTGGATCTTTTTTTTTTTTTGAGACGGAGTTTCGCACTTGTTACCCAGGCTGGAGTGCAATGGCGCGATCTCGGCTCACCGCAACCTCCGCCTCCTGGGTTCAGGCAATTCTCCTGCCTCAGCCTCCTGAGTAGCTGGGATTACAGGCACACGCCACCATGCCCAGCTGAATTTTTTGTATTTTTAGTAGAGACGGGGTTTCACCATGTTGATCAGGATGGTCTCGATCTCCTGACCTCGTGATCCACCCGCCTCGGCCTCCCAAAGTGCTGGGATTACAGGCTTGAGCCACCGCGCCCGGCAACGTTTGGATCTTTAGTCACAAGAAGCAACCTTCCAGACCGGCCCAGGGGGTGGGCTCCCTTCACTTCTCCCAGGGCCCAGCTGTGCCCCTTCCCCGCACGGTTCCTGCCCCAGGGCCAGACGCCCTTGCTTCACACACAGGGACAACCCAGCGAGGCCGACCCTGAGGTCCAGGTCGGTGCCCAGGTGCCCCGGAGGCCGGGGAGGCCCCCAGCCTCGCAGTAGCTGCACCCACCTCCCTGCCCACCGCCTGGGTCACAGCGCCCCAATGTCGGCAACGCCTCGCAAGGGGACAGAGACGGCTCAGGTGGGCCCACCTGGTCCCTGGCGGTCCTCCAGGTCCTGGGAGAAACTGGGGATACCCGCCTGAGACCCCGACAAAGGCGCTCAGGGCCCCAGGAAGCGGAAAGCCACAGGCTTGCACAGGAGGAGGAGCCGGCCCGCGGGACAAAGGGCAAGGGAGGCCATCACGAACACACGCCCGGAAACCGCGCCACCCCGACCGGAAGCGTGGCGCCGCTCTAGCCGCAGGCACGCGCTGGTCCCGTCACGCCCACGACCTGCTCCAGCGCCCCCCACGCGGCCCGGAGGGCTGACCCTCCAAGGAGGCGCGTTTCAATAACCGCCTGTATGTAGCACGTGGCCCTGGAAGGCGGGGACAGCTACAAACACACGGGGCAGGCAACAGAGCTGCGACGAGCGTGTTGGGGGTCCCAGCCCTCCGCAGTCGGCGTCCTGGTTCCCATCGCTCCCGCGGCGTCGTGGGAGAACATCCCTCCGTTCGGGAAACGCACACGAAAGCGCCCAGGGCCACGGGGCCGGCGTCTCCCACCGCATCTCAGACGCTCCGGGAGCAACGCGCACTCGCGGGGATTCACACGGAGCGAATTCACGGGCGGTGGCAGCGGCCGGGCACGCGGACACAGGTCCACGGCGGTCCCTCTGCTGTTTGTCCTTGCGGCTTTCTCTAAGTTGGAAGGTAGGTATCGAAGTGTTTAAGTCACTAAAACCCTGCAGCAGGTCGCACATGCGTTCTCTCCCCTTGGCGCAGGAGAACGAAGCCCACGCTCCTCCCGGGCCTCCCCGTGCGGCCCAGCTGCCGGCTGCTGCTTCACCGCCCGGCCGCGCCCGCAGGGTGCCCGGGCTGGCTCTGCGCCCGCCGGCTCGCGGTGGGGGCCCAGAGGACACTCGGAGAAAGCAGGCGCTGAGTTCCCTTGCAGCTTGGAAATTGGACGCACGAACGAGCGGCTCGGTGCCAGCAGGAAGTGCTCGAGGGCGCGTGTGGGCGTCAGAGCGGTCTGGGGGCCACAGCTTTATTGACGACTGCATTACCCCAGTAAGCCTCCTGCGCACGAGGGTCGCGCACACCCGGGCCTCCCGGGCCTCCCTCCCTGCAGGGTCAGGCTCTCCCAGAGGAGGCTTCTGCCGCAACGTCGGCGATCACGCTCTCCTCCGACGGCGGATGGGCAAGGGCAGGATCCCGATCCCACGTCAGGCTGGAGCGAAGCTTGGGGCCAGACTTCGTAGATCGGAGAGTGTCCTGCGAGAACACCCGCAATGAGGACCGCGAAGAGATCCGAGAGCCCTCGAGTGACCGCGCCAGCGACAGGGTCCGGGAGCCCGCGTGTGACGCGGTCAGGGATGGCATCCGGGAGGCCAGCTTTGAAGTGGCCAGCGATGGGACCCTGGAGCCCCTGCTCGACGGCACCAACGAGGGGGCCCGGGAGGCCGCGCGCGACGGGACCGCGGACGGGGCCTCGGAGGTCGCGCGCGACGGGACCCCGGACGGAGCCTGGGAAGCCGCGCGCGACGGGACCAAGGACTGGGTCCGGGAGGCGGTGTCCGAAGGGTCTGTGGGGGCGGCTGAGGAGCCGGGGCGCGAGGTGGGCTGGGAGGAGGCTGGCGGCTGCCAGAGCGGCGGGCCTCCGGGGCCCCTGGGCAGCCAGCCGTGCACACGCGCCAGGTCCCGCGTGTCCTCGTGCTCGCGGTGCAGCTGCTCGCGCTGTTCCAACAGCTGGCGCCGCGTGTCGTGCAGCAGCTGGGTCCGGCGGAGCAGCCGCAGCAGCTCCTGCCGCAGGCGCCAGTTGTCCGCCTTGACGGCCTGCGTGTGCCCAACGAGCGCGCGCGCCGCCTCCCGCTCCGCGCGCCGCGCCAGGGACTGCACGCGCTGACGCGCCTCGCGCTCGAAAGCCGCCTTGTCCTCCAGGAAGCGCCGCTTCACGCGGTGGAGCAGCTGCGTGTGCTCCACGCGCATATGCAGCAGCTCGCGCTCCAGCGCCCGGATCCGGGCCAGCTGCTCCAGCTGCAGCACCTGCGGCGGGGGCGCCGTCAGTCCCCCCTCCCCGGCCCCGGCCCCGGCCCGGCCGTCCGCCCCGCCCCGCCGCACCCGGGCCGCGGGCCGGCGCACTGGCCTTGTAGGGCCGCAGCTCCTCCACCTGCCGCGCCATCTGCGCCGCGCGCGCCTCCATCTCCAGCAGCTGCGCGCGCACCCTGTCCTCGCGCCCGTGGTAGAGCGAGGCCAGCTCCGCCCGCTGCCAGTGGATCTGCGCCAGGTCCACGCGGTTCTGCTCGTCCAGCCGGACGATGGCGTTGGCGCAGCGCTGGGCGCGCGCGCTCACGTAGCTGGCGTAGAGCCGGTTCTCCTCGCGCAGGCGCAGCGCCTCGCGGTCCAGGAAGGCGTTCTCCTGCAGCACCCGGTCCACGCGGGCCTCGCAGGCCTCCAGCTGCTCCGACAGCAGCGCGTATTCGCGCTGCAGGTACTGCGCGCGCTCCGACAGCGGCTGCTCGGCCCCCGCGCCCCCCGCGCCCCCCCGGCTGACTCCCCGCGCTGGGCCCGCGCTTTTTCTTGGGCGCCATGGGTTGGTGCCTGGACCTCCCGGACTGGTGAGAGCAGCGACCCTGGCCCCTCCGCCAGCTCAGCCCTTCCTCTTCCGCCCCCTAACTATTCCAGGCGCCAGGCCCAGAGGTGGGAAGCGTCTCAGGGTCACGGGGCTTTCGGGGAGGCAGATCGGGGCTTCGGGTCTCGGGGGCCAGGGCAGCTTTGCCAGCCTTCACTCGGGGACTCCCGCTGGGCCTTCACTGTCCGTCGGGGTGCTCCCAACATTAGTCATGTTGCTGCTCGGCGGCCATGGTCTCTATGGAGACAGAACGTCTCCCACCCCCACCCTGGTTACTTGGCGGTGGCCAACTCCTTGGTTCGGCACAACTCCCTCGAGAATGCGCCCCCAGAGATTGCGCCCCCAGAGATAGGGCCTGAGCTGACAAGACGGCTTCAGGCGGACGTCGGAAGTGCCTCTGAGCCTCACAGACCCCAGCAGCGCCCTTCGCCTTTGGTCCACCGTTGGGCCGTCTCCGGGGTTGCCCCCGACTCGAGGCGGAGCTTCGCCGCATTCCCCGCCTTTCCACCTCGCCGGAGTGAAATCTGTGTTGTCAGGAGGGAGCGCTTCCCTGGACCATCGGCCTCTCCAGGGTCCCTTGCTTTCCTTGAGCATTTCGTGATTCCTTCCGTGAGGCCCCCATGGGAACTGGGGTTCCTGAAGCGTGGGGTCCGTTGGGATGCGGAAGAGCGTTTCTCTCTGAGGTTCCTAAGCCCATGAGTGCGGCCCGCGCTCAGCTCATCCGTGGCTCTGCAGCTGGGTAGCTTCCCTTTGCCTTGCGCCCGGATGGCTGGAGGGCACAGGGATCCACCAGGGACCTGGCACTTTCTTTTTTTCTGCTGACTTTGTGGATACGTCATTATTATTGAAACCATCCCTATAAACTTTTTAATCAGGGAAGGGAGGGGAGAAAGGAAAGCTCACTCAGCCAGTGTTCATCCTGAGGCCACCTGCCTTCCAACCCCTTCCTCAGAGCTGTTTGGTGCCTGTGGCCCCAGAATCACACGGACCCTGTCACAAGATTCGCGTTCCCCGTAACTGCTCTGTAGATAACAATCATAGTTGTTATCTACAGCGCAGTTCCGGGGAACACTAAACATTGTAAAAGGTGAAGTTTACTGTTTGACAGGTCCTGAGTACCTGTGAAAGGAGGGACCCAGCTGGTCTGAAGCATCCGCATGAGGAGCTGATGCACCAAGTAATGCCGGGTCCGCATGCTGCTGACTGCACCCTTTTCTCCTGCCCGATTGATGACCCTATTTTACAGCCCCTAACCCTCCACAATCCCCTTAAAAACCCCAGCCCAGAACTCAGGGAGACAGATTTGAGGGTCCCTCCCATCTCCTTGCTCGGTGCCCAGGGATCATGACACTGTTTCTCTGCTGCAGACTCTGCTGTCCCGGTGTATTGGTCGTTACTGCACAGCAGGCATTGCAGCCTGTTGGTCCTGTAGGGTCTGCCTCCGTCTTCACCAGTGATCCCCAGCTCCCATCCTGTTAGATGCCTCAGGAACAGATGCATTCAGCATCCTTTGACACACAGCATAAATGTACCCGTTTTGTGTCCTGACACCATACAGTTGAGTTTCTGCTCCGTTTGTCCACATTTGCTGGGATGTGGGCAAATTTGAGGATCCTTGACTTGTAGCTTTGTCAAAACCACATTTGCACAGAGGTTTGTGGTGGAGACCGTCTTAGGAAGTTGGTTCTAGAACCCTGGTGGCTCACAGACATGGTGGGGCTGGCTCTGATCAGCTCACCTACCTGAAAGGTGCAGCAGGGCCTTTTAAAATTACGAACATGATTGAAGCATTTTACTCCTTGTAAAAAACAAATGTATTTTGTAAGTAAAAGTAAGAGCACACCAACTACCGAACAAGTCAGTCTATTTAGCATTAACATTGTAAAGGGACGTTGACTCATAAACTCCTAAGCTGCATCTGAATGTTGGCTTTAATATATGGGCTTTTAATAGGAGAATGGTGCCTCTCCTGTCACAGAAAATTGGGAAAAGACCACATAGAATCATGAGAAAAATATCACCTGCATCCCGGCAGCAGGGACTCGACTGCAGTGGGTAAGGGGCAGGCTTGTGGGCAGGGACCCTTATCCGCAGCGGGGCCTCTGGCTCCTTGCCATTGTGCCACCCCAGTGCTCTCAGGCCTTGTGTCCCCATTTGACAGACTGAGAAACCGAGGCAGCAACAGGCAGAGGCCCTGCACCGTACATGGAGACAGAATTCACTTCCCGTGACACAGCTCCCACCCTCGGGGGCCTTCCCGTCCCCGTCTGCAGGTGGGGTGCTGGTCTTTGTCCCCCCAGGACCCGCAATCACAACCCCCTCAGAAACAGGCTGGCAAGCTGGAGGAGCCGTGGAAGAAGGCCCTGGCTGCGCCCTGTGAGGCCCTCCCCGCCGTAGGCCCCTTAGGCTGGGCCCGGCTGGGGACCCCGAAGGCTGCAGCACAGGGGCGCCCTGAGTCTGCTCCTGGCTGTGGTTGGGGTCGGGTGCTGGGGCCCCAGTCCTGTTCGTTTCTGTGCCCTGGGCCCAACCCAAGCCTGTCTTCTGCCCCATGTCCGTGGCAGGACTTACCATACCCACCCACTGGGGCTGGCATAGACAAGGGTGTTTGAGGCAAAGACCCTGCTCCCATGGCCAGGTAACTCGGAGCCCATGCCAGATCTACACAAGTCCCTCAGCCTGTCCCCCACGGAAACTCTAGTCCGAGGTCGTGACGTGCATCAGCTCGCACGGTCACTGTTGCCCCAGAGGAAGCGCTCTGCCCTCTGCCTGTCCACAGCACCTCTCCAGGTGTGAGCACGAGGCCCGAGCTAGGTCATTCCTGGTCATCCCTGCCCAGGCCAGCAGGGGACTGGGGTGTGGTCCAGGTGGGCCTTCATGGGGGGTCACCTGCCTCTGACGAAAAGGAAGGTGCCCAGGACTTGGAGCCCTGCACAGGCTTCAACGATGTCACCTCCACTCGGCTCCAGAGACATCCCTGACGCAGCCATCAGGGTGACCAGCTGGGGACATGCCTCCTTGGGGACCCTCATTTCTGAGTCTATGCCTCCAAATGTATGATGTCAGAGACAACCATGTCCATAGCTGGCATATGTCCCCACAGAGGGTTTCAAGTAAGTGACTGGAGTGACCAGGGTGGGTCACCTGGGCTATCTGGGTCTACAGCCCACACCCGCAGTAGGAGAGAGGGGAGGGCCATTTTGGAATCCACCAGGGAGAGGCTGTGTATGAGATGGGATGGGTGGTGGGCCATGGCTGTGACGCAGTAGGGGACAGGGCAGGGATACCCTCTCAGACTGATACTCAGAGGTAACGTAGGGTCTTGGCCCACACCGTGGCACACAGTGCTGCCTCATAGGAGAGGGTGGGGTCCATGCATGGGGACCGTGACCGCTGGGAGCTGGGAGACAAGGGAGTTTAGTTTCCTGGATGACAGGAGGCTGGGGGTGGGTGAAGCAGGAGGCTCCAGACACACCGGCGGGGTCTGTGATCCGGACCCCACCCTGTGACTCTGGGCCTCCTGGATGATGACTTTCCCCCAGACCTCACCCATGATTTCCCCATGGATTGATTAAAAATTCAATACAAGGTCCAGGTCAACAATGCACCCAAAATAAAGCTGAAAGTTAGAACTTCATGCAACAAAACTTACTGTGACTTAGGCCGGGCGTGGTGGCTCATGCCTGTAATCCAGCACTTTGGGAGGCAGGTGGATCACATGAGGTCAGGAGTTCGAGGCCAGCCTGGCCAACATGGTAAAACCCCGTCTCTACTGAAAACACAAAAATTAGCAGGGTGTGATGGTGAGTGCTTGTCATCCCAGCTCCCTGGGAGGGTGAGGCAGGAATATGCTTGAACCTGGGAGGCAGAGGTAGCAGTGAGCTGAGATCGAGCCATTGCCCTCCAGCCTGAGTGACAAAGCAGGACTTCGTGTCAGGAAGTAAATAAAAACTTACTGTGATTTAATAATAAAACTATTGACAAAATTATATCGGCAAGAATATTTGTACAAGGGAAAGTTAGACTTGGTAGAAATAGTGGCCCCAACAGAAACTACATAATAACAAGATTTAAAAAATCCAGCTAGGCTGAGCACAGTGGCTCATGCCTGTAATCCCAACACTTTGGGAGGCTGAGGTGGGCGGATCACCTGGGGTCAGCAGTGAGCCAGGATCGCACCACTGCACTCTAGCCTGGGCAACACAGCGAGACTGTCTCAAAGAACGTCACCAGCCCCCACCCAACTAATGGACAAATCAAATGTCTACTGGAAAGTGTGTCTGGCAAAGGATAAACCCAGGTGAAAACAACTACAGCAAAATGAAAAAGGGAAACAGAAGTTGGAAATGGTTTAATTTTGCCAAGTAGAAAACTGATTTAATAATTCAGTGTAGTGAAGTGCACTCTAAAGAATTTTTTTCTGCACCAGGCGAGGTGGCTCACACCTGTTATCCCAGCACTTTGGGAGGCCAAGGTGGGTGGATCATGAGGTCAGGAGTTCAAGACCAGCCTGTCCAATATGGTGAAACCCTGTCTCTACTAAAAATACAAAAAATTAGCTGTGCGTGGTGGCTTGCCCCTGTAGTCTCAGCTGCTCGGGAGACTGAGGCAGGAGAATTGCTTGAACCTGGGAGGTGAAGGTTGCAGTGAGCTGAGATCAGGCCACTGCACTCCAACCTGGGCGACAGAGCTAGACTCTGTCTCAAAAAACCAAAAAATGCTTTTTTGCTAAAAATTCACTGGTGTTGGTATAATTCTACGTACGAGTCCCATTCTCAGGGCAGAATGTCAGGGTCGGGACTTCCTCTCCTTGGGGTTCCTCAGGGAAGGTGAAGAATGGGGGCACTGGCCTGCCAGTCCTGACCACTGTTGGTGTTGGGGGCCAGCTGGGCTTCCTTGCTGCCCCTGGCAGCTGCATCCCAGCCAACCTGAGCTGTCCTGCAGTCCCTTAAGAACTGGCTC